TATACGTATAGAAAAGGTAACAAGAACGGTTCAGAAACTTAAATATGATGTTCCCTCTCACACTCAACTGTTCATTTAATTATCTGTTTCCCCGAAAATGAGGTAACCGTTAATAAATTTTTAATAAAATGATAATAAAAATTTGGATTTTTTCATTAGGCAATGGGCAAGAGTCATGAGAGATGTATAGATGTATTACTTTTTTGGGTAAAAGAGAGATGTAGTATATTACTTTCTCATAGATCCAGCTTGTAATTGTTTTGTTTTATATCAACTACTAGTATTTGTTTTAAAAAAAAACAACTAGCTAGTAGTATTTGCTATTAAATTTTAGATTCCAATAAACATCTTGTCAATAATTTGAGCTAGCTACTACTTTGTATTGTTTTATAGTGCAATTCGTTTACTTTCCCCTTGAGTGAGGAACTCTCTCGTAGAATTTTACAATTAACAAATAATATTCGCTGGCATTTTGAATCAAGAACAGAAAAATTATATAAATATTATACAAGTTAGTTAGCGGAAATCATTTTCTTATAAATAAACTATCAGCATTTTATTATTTGCATGTCTAAGTTTAAAATGGCTTATTAAATATATTTTGTATAAAATTCAAATAAAAGTTATTGATTTTTATATAATCATAATATTTAAAAATTCGTGAAAACAATGATATTTATATTCCATTGTGTAAAAATTGATGATAAAAACTTGGTCAGCTAAAAGGCAGGTTAATAATAAAAAATGTATTTTCTTGTATGCATGGCTGTATCTATCAGTAGTTTTTTTTGGGGTAATTGTGGAAGTTCGTTGAATTGTAACATCTCTTGGGCCATACCAAATCTGATCCTCCAAATCTTGCTTTTAGTCCGACTAAATATCACTATAGTTATAATAATAACACGATTATAATCAATATATAATAGACCAGAACGTTAATATGTCACTATATCACTTTAATATAATATCACTATAGTTATAATAATAACACGATTATAATTAGTATATAGTAGACCAGAACGTTAATATATGTATATCACTTTGTGTAATTGTGTGTGTGTTTTTTTTGTTTGAAAAATGTAAAATTTGTATTCCATCAAAAACTTTTTTTTACAATATATGTTGTGGTGTGTTGAAACAAAATTCAGAACATATATTTGCATAGTGATATAAATTGTGTGTTGTTGTGTTACTACAAAAATTTAAACTCG